CTTGTTAGTCAGTTTTGTTTGCAGGACACGAAGGATTATGCCATCAAAAGTTGGGTCTCATTTTTGGTCATGCCCGTGTAAAGAGTTTGGACACGAAAATAATGGGAAAGTCTCTGTTTCAAACGCGTCCCAAATGGTTCGTGCAGGTTTGGGGTGTTGGGCAAGTGAAAAACACCACGAGTGCATCTTCTGCCCACGCCTAAGTCCTGGAACTGGTCTACTGTGCTTTTTTCCATGTGACAGCCATCTAAACCAGAAGAGTCCACATCAATGCTTTTCATCAAAAAATAAGACCACAGAAGAAAGCAGGAATGGAGCAAAGAAGCTACTAGGGGCTCCTGGCCTTACTACTAGGGGCAAGGACGCTACTAGGAACAAATGGCATCGCTACTAGTAACAAGGACGCTATTAGTGGTTCCTCGAACGCTTTCGATGCTTCTGCATCCCAACTCGGCACTTGGATGCTGGGCGTTCCATGTCGAGCACGAGTGGTCGACTGTTCCTTCCGGACACATGTCAAAGGACTGGTGGGTTTTCACATCATAAGTTTGGTGAAGACAAGTTCCATGTCATCCCCAACCAATGACTCCAAAATCTTGTATGAAAATAAAAAATAAGGAAACTCCGGACCCCAATGGTTCGAAAGTAAGTGTGACAACTGTCATGCCGCCCTGGGCACAGGTGGAGCCCCAAATGTCGTTGCCATAAGTCTTTGGGTGCAGCACGATATCTGGAGCCGTGTCGATGCCTCCATCGTAGCTAAACTCCTGGAGTAAGCAGAGTAAGAAAGGCAGTGAGCCAAAACACGCCATAGACCATGTTTTTTTCGCTCTGATCGTGTGATGCAAAGGTTTGTTTTTGTCGCTCTCCTAGGTCTGCATTCTATACTATAGATCATATGATTCTTCAGGCTTCTACTTGTGGATCTATAATGGACTGACCCAGTAGCACCACATGCCTGGAATCTTTTCCGATTGCATCCTAAATATCTGTCTTTTTGCAGCACTGACTCTTCTCAAAGATTGCCTTTCCCCAAGACTGAGTGCAAATGAGTGTTAATGTCGTCAATACTCTCAAACGTTCCCTTTAGCATGTCCTTAGAAGAGTAGACCCGGTCCCAGTCCTGGTAGCCTCCACATAAGATCAAGGACGCTGATTCAACATGCTGCTGGAAGGGCACCAGCCAAATGAGAACTGCTGCGATAATCAAGCCTCTCGGACGTCTGAACAGTTGACCGATCTGAGACCGGTCGATGCCGGTCGGACGAGAATTCTTCGTGGACGTTCAAGGTCGGTGGTCCTACTGTCATGGCTGTATGTGTTTCCCCGCGCATCCACCCCAAGGAACGTAGTATTGTTGAAAAAATCCTGCACCATCTATTTGCAGCGACTCCGCCACGAACTTGCCGCCCTGGCGCCTAATGTGATGAAATATCGCAGCATGTCCTGGCGCTGTTGCAGGACGAACGCATCAACCAAGAAAGAAATGAACGGCCAGTGCAGCTACCAGAAATAGTTCCTGAGCCCGGTGGAAATAGCTTCTGAAACCCAGGCCAGTTTCTGAACTTCATTTTGTTCCATGCGGCCATGCCAGTTATCATTCTCACAAAACGCCCATCCCTATGCCACCTGGGCGTGAACATCGCTGGATATCGAGAGGTCAGGGGGACATAGAGGACTGTGTGAGATTTTGTGCGAGCAAGGATTTTACAGCGCCTAAGGAAGAAACAACCATCCTCTGTAAGCTTCTTCTTTCTTTGAAGGTACCTTGAGGGTTCCTAGTGCTGGCATCCATCCTACCCAAACAAGCCAATTTTTGCCAAACTTAAAAAGCGTCCTCTTTGGAAACCACATCGTGCATTCTCTGATCCCGAACCAAATTGTTCTAGCTCACTGCTCTTTTTTGAAGAGCCCAGTGGCAAAAGCCCCAAAAGCCAGGCAAACTCTCCTAAACCCAGCATCAACCACTGCTTTAAACCTAAGCCATTAAGCAGTGACTCATGGAAAACCAGTGACGGACCGGAGCCCAACCCTCTGTGAAAACCAGTGACCGAACCCATCTCTCGGGTAAACCCGCGTCGACCCAACTTCCGAACCCCCAGCCTTGTAAGGGAGGTGCTTGCTGTCTCTTCGACTGATCTTGCCGCAAGTCATCGGTTCCACCTGCCAGAGAGGGGGAAAGGGCTTCCGGTGTGAAAGATGTGACCAAAAACGTGTGCCCAGCTGGTGGGATGCTCATGTTGATCCGTTGGTCACCGTTGGTCGTTTGGTTGGGCCAGAAAAGTGAAAAATACGGACACCTGATTGATGGATGTCACATTTGCAGATGTAAACAACCTTGCAAGGTTTGAGCGTTTTGCCTTGACACAACTATACCTCGACCATACCCTTTCTTACAGCCCCAAACGACACGTCGAGCGCGCACCATTTCATTTCATCGGCTCGACCGAGGAAGGTTTGTTCATTCAACAGTTGCTGGTTTTTCTTCGATGTCTCAGCTGGGTCAAAAGCTGGGTATGCAACGGAAGGTCTGGAAGAAAAAACATGGAATCTGATTGTAAGTTGTGCATACTCAGACTGACTCCAACCATATACAGCAAAAAAATATATGATAATAATATATATATATAATCGAAACAGAAATATGTTACTAACCGAATAATCGTATGTGTTCAGCCCCACAGCTCTTCCACACGGCTTTGGAAGACCCTTGGCTATGCTAGTTGGGGAGAGCATGCGCGGCCGACTCTTCATGTTTGGAAAAGAGTCTCTTCCCACCTTCTCCACCACTGACCGCAAACGCTCGGTCAACATGACATCGGCCAGCAGTTCGTCCGCGTCCATCACAAACGCCAGTCCCTGAGAAGGTCCGCAGAATCTCGAATGTTCTGCAGAATTCACTCATCAAACGCCCTGTGGACTGTAGATGTCCTAAACTCAAGCTTTCGACCCGTGCTTGTACATCCGCTTGTATCAATTTCTTTGAGATCCTTGACCCATTGAGAATTGAGAGGATGCTCAGCAACTGCACTAAGTTTGCCTCACTTTGACAGTACCCAAAAACTCTTCTCCGAGGCGCCACTGCGTTCAGCACGATATCCTGCAAGCTCACCTCACAGTCATCCAGTCATTTCATTTGGGCCAGAACAACGTCCAGTCCATCATTCCTCCCCCTGTCTACTCTCCACAAGCTAGGGCACCGTCTGCGCCAAGTAGATGCTACCGATGACCGCGAGGGAGAACATCACTCCAAGTCGTGGCAGGCTCAAAAAGACCAAAGCCAAGCCTTGCACATCGATTTTGATGCCAACGGGTGATCATAAGATAATAACCCTAACTTTTTTACGGGGTGGAAGAACTCCATCCCACGCTCATGTCTGGTCGACATGTTCAACATGTTCGTCGGTCTTTTCACAACCAAGCCCGCGCAATGAGAGATTTCGTGGATATAAAAGGGGTGTCTGGAGTCAAAATGTTATTCGGAAACTAAAAGGTGGTCTTCGAAAACTTTACGGTTTTCTTCGGATTGTTTACTTTTTCTTCGGAAACTTTTGTGTGGAAACTAATCTTCGGCAACTCAAAAGTGATCTTCGGAAACTTTAAGTGTTCTTCGGAAACTATTCTTCGGAAACTAATCTTTGGAAACTCCACGGTTTTCTTCAGAAACTAATGTTCGGAAACTACGAAGAGTCGAAGAGCAACATCAAGCCTGCACTAAAAAGTTTCTGCAGATAGTAAAATAGGCATGTATATCATACTATATACCATTGCCGTCACAAGGTACGTCAATAACTCACCCACCCACACACCAACCAAACCACCTACCCACCCACCCACCCCACCCACGCAGTGCTTCTTCATGCAATTTGGTTACAATATTGTAAAAGTTCTGAAGAATACTTTCTAAAGCATGCAAGTAAGTTTCTGAAGATCGCGAAATGACTTCTGACGATCGCGAAACAGTTTCTGAAGATCGCCAAACAGTTTCAGAAGATCGCGAAACAGTTTCTGAAGATCACGAAATAGTTTCTGAAGATCGCCAAATTGTTCCTGAAGATCGCAAAATAGTTTCTGAAGAAGAGTTTCTGAAGAGTAGTTGCGGAAGAGTACCAAATAGGGTGTCTGGCCACCCGCCACACAACTAGGTTGCGAACTTCTCTGTCTTCTTGAGTCGGTAGAACAACAAATCCAAGTGAGGATGAACAACACACTGGAGTCGAAACACAAAACAACTCTAGCAGATTCAAGCAGCTGCTAGCAAGGAGCTCCTTGATCCCTCAAGGCCCATGAACTGATCTAGGGTTGTTGCTTTGGATGTTCACAGGTATATATGGGTGCGTATTTTAGTAGGGAGATCCCGAATTTGCTTTTTCGAGGGGATCTTGTGGAGGTCTCCCTATTTCAATACACACTCGTATGCAGATCATATACACAGTGAAGAAAGTCACTCGGTCACTTGGATGATGCTCATCCGCACGCTGTCACATGTGGAAATCGATCGAACCAAATTGGACATCTCCAAGGGCACAATCATCGAATTGATTCCAAAGAAACTTCGGGTGCTGGCTGGGCACTCAAACTTTTCAAGATACATCCACCGGCCAAGGGCATAAGTTTGCTTTACAACTTCCAGGTGTCCAACGGCAAAACTCCAAAACTCCGCTACTAGCAACAAAGGGCATCGCTACGAACGGAGCGATCGGACGCTACGAACGTAGCTCCCGGCATTACTTCTAGGAACAAGAAGCTACAGCCCAAAGCCCCATGGTCTCAAACCGAGAAGACCTCCAAATCACCAAATCAATGTGCTAAAAGAGATCCATCAACCACCTGTTTTGGGTGAGAAGAGCCTGTTTTTCCTTAAAACAAAAAAGAATAAAGACACCCACCAGGTCACTAGGTCCTAGCTCTTAATCTTGGTCAGAAAAGTGGCGGTTCCTGCAACCAACAAACGGGTCATTGGGCCTCAAAATCAGACACCTTTATAGATTATAAATATATCAGGTGCTCTCGCCTAGCCCGGTCATGTCCAGGCCTTTCTTCATTCTGCTGAGCCCCACAATCTGCATGGTATCATCCTCTGTGGTGACCAACTCCCGACCACGCACCACGTCCTTGCTGTCGAGGTGATACACTGCCAACGCCTGCTCCACGCAACGCCGGTACTCCTCGAGAGGACGGATGTGGCAAAGCTCCAAGGAGATGAGGGGTACTTCGGGGTTGGCCAGGAAACGTCTCAAAAGGCCTGAAGAGAACAACCAGGGAATGTTTGAGTGTTTGAAATAAGTTATGAAAGCATTAGATCCAGAATCAAAATGAGACAAACCTGCAGGAAACTCCCCCGGAAGTGAACTGAAGGAATGAACAGCTCGCTTTATGAGAATTGGAAACGCGATGGAACATCGGACAGTGAAATGAAGACCCCTCACTCCTTCATGATCGTCAAGATCCACATGATGATAGCGAGCGTGCTCAGGGCAAACCCGGGCATGGGCTTGTACAGGTAGTCATACAGCTTGTTGTACTCATCCTGCTCAAAGGCCCACAACCTGTGACGGCTCAGGTCAACATCAGTCGGTGAGAAAGGAAACAGATCGTCGTATGCTAGAGAAAGAACTGTAATATGCAAACGACAGGCTGGTGACTATTGCAAGCCTCGTAACTTGTTGTTGCATAGCTTGTCTAACCTACTCAAACCACGGCTGTCATCAAAGACGGCAAGATGATGCCCAGTCTCCACACGCCAAGTCAACATCTCTTGTATCTTTTCTTCCTCATAGCTGTTGTCAAGCATGTCCATGCTGACAGTGAGAAGCAAGAAGACTTGCAGCGTCAAATTGGTCACGCATCCGATTAAGAGGATCACCATATCTGTGAAGTTCGTCTGATGGACCTTGGCATGGCCAGAATGAAATGAAGCCGAGTATTGAACATGTTAATGTCCAGCCGCTTCTCTGCTCCTGATGTGAATGCTTTGCCAAGAGAGCCCATTTCAGTGGCCACTGGCCACTCACGTGATTTGTTGCTCGGCTGCACAGAACACCTAGTTTGGACTTTGAAGGAGCCGCCTCCAAGTGCGAGCGTACCACACTTTGAATCCCCAGACTTCAGCTCTGGCTTTACCGAGACACATAGACCAGCAAAGCTGCATCCCACATCGAGGCCTCAAAGGCATACGTCGCCGAGTCCACGTCTTTGATCCTGGTACAGACCCGCGTATGTCAGCCACATCTCACAGTGACCCCGTTCGAAAACTGCTGGGGCCTTCCGGGCGTAAAGAGAACGAAAGTGCTGTAGTAGCTTCTTGCTCCTAGTAGCGATGGCCTCCAACCTACTTGCGATGGCCTCCACCTAATAGCGTCCTTGCTACTAGTAGCTTCTTGTTCCTAGTAGTACCAGAACAAGATTGGATCTAAAACCCAAACAAGTCGCAACTCGTGGACCCCAAAGCACCGATCGGACGGAGTGGCAATCGTGCCGCTGATCCGCGGCTCTCCTGGATGCTCGCATGTTCGTGCCGTCGCCCACTTCGTTCGTCGGGAGGTTCTCGTCAACATCAACGGACAACTGCTGATTGCCATCCACACCAGCTGCCTGGGCGATCGTCGACAACACTTGCGAACCCTGGGCAGGAAATTGTGCCCACGGGTGTTGAGACAGCAGTGTTTCGTGAGCACTTGTTAAGCTGCAATTAAGAGCGTGGAACAAAGGAACTGAGGCCTGGCTGACCTAGCTACTCTTTATGATATTTACGAGAACAAGGCTTTGGAAAACTGTCCAGCATCAATATTGTTTGACTGTAGAGTTCCAACTCTGGAGCGATATGGCAAAGGGTGTCCGCAAACGATTGTGCGCTGGGACTTACCAGGGTGGCTGCAGTGCTGGTAATGCTGATTGTATACGGCGGTTCCGCTGGTTACGCTGGCTGCGCTGGTTATGCTGGTTCCGCTGGTTCCGCTGGGTACGCTGATTACGCTGTTTACGCTGGTTCTGTTTACGCTGCTTGAAATCTCCCAGCGCAATTCTGACCATCGCAAGCCTGGTCAAAAATGACCCCTGTGAACCTCTGCTAAAACCGACGGAATCCACACGATAGCCCACACGACAACCCACTGATGGCCCGGAATGGGACATCTTGGCAAACGATGGTTGACTCCCCAATCCGGTTTGCACAACAGGTTCCCATCCAAATCTCCCGCTTCATTCGGATTGGGAGAACACATTGTAGCTAGGCTAGTCGCAATCAATTGGACAGTGCACAAAAGAGCGAGCTCTGGCAATCTTTAGTTCACCCAACAAACCCCTAGCCACATCATGTGGCACGAAACGACCAGCTTCCCAACGTGCTCGTCAGCCAAACAGTGGGGCTTTCCCGCCGAGCGTCCAAGCGCTTCTCCAGCTCCGCGCAACGCTTCTCCAGCGCCAGCAGCTGAGCTCCCTGCATCTGGACCATCTGCGCCAAGCTGGACTCCGAGGGGTCTGCCTCACCAGAGAGGAGAGGAGAGGGGAAGCGGGTCTGCACCAATCGCTTGGCGGTTCTCACGCAGGTGATGGAAACCAAAAACCGAACGAAAGGGACAGGGAACATGGGTTGCTTCAGGTGTAAAAGGGTCCTGCAGGGCAAGGGAAAAGACTTGTCAATACTGTTCACAGGCAATGTGTGTTGGAATCTCATTAGTTGTCCACATCCGAGACTAGCCTGGGTTTGTCCAAGATCGCCTGCAAAGACCTTCTCTCTCCAACAAGAAACCTCTACCTGTTTTGTTCTTGTCCATGCTGACTGCAAATTTGACTCTGCCAGGTTCCCACAACTCGTATCACTCACCCATGTCGGACAGCTGTCTTTGCGGCCGCAACTTGCACAACACAATCCACACCTCGTCGCCTGCGGGGATGTGCATGTTGTTATCGGCAGCTGGCATGGGCATAGCCGCGGAGCCTCTGAGAACCGCCGTGGTTTGGTGCCTCGCACCAGTTCGGCGTCACTTCGTGCCGGACGGGTGCGCTGGACTCTGCGCTGGATCCTTTACCTGGACCCGAGAAAAGCTGCGGAGAGCCGATCGAAACGCATGAGTCACGTCAAATTGAGGAATGATACCTTCGTATCAGCATGTCCGTGGGCTTGGGGAAAGCGCATCCTGTTGGACAAAAATCCACCTGCTTCCAACAACGCTCTGCTGTGAGGGGATTCACCATTCAGCACCAAAGCAACCCTTTTCAACCATCTTCGATCGCCCATCTATTCGCCGGCTAGCAATGGTTGAGGTGGCAAGGACGCGAACAAATTATAGAATCAGTTTAGCCCATCGTTATCATTCTGAAACATCTTCCTCTGCCTGCCTCCACTCTAGCCTAGACATCCAGTGCTGCGAAATAAGCTTCGAAGGTTGAGTTTTCAAGATGACCCTAGCACGGAAAGGGAGGTGAAAGAAAATGCTGCACTGATGCAACACTGCAGCATTCACCCCAACGTCTGCTACAAACAAGAAGATCGCAAAAGGCTCGGACATGCGAACAAGTGGCCAATCAAGGACATCACCTCACCGGAATCAACATTTCCCCAACTGGATGGAAGATGCCCTCCTCCGACCACACTTTGGCAAAAGCCGTTTCTTCGCAAAAAAAAAATGCCACGCACCGCGACTTTCGCGCGAGGCCACAGAGTAGAACGCTTTCGCACGCCCTCAAAACCTGACCCACGTTGGGTTTTCGAAGGGTCCCGCACTGGGTCCCGCACCAGAGTATCACCAACAGCCAGCCCTCGCGACGTTGTAGCGAACTTTTCAGCTTCAACTTGTGATTGGGGTCGACTGCTCACACTCAGCACATGGCACATGCCCATCTCGGGCAGTGTGATGTCGTCCGCAGAGGGCGAGTTTCGCCCATCTGAAGGCTGCTCTCTTTGGAGCAACCAACGAGTTTCCACTGCAGAATCGGCTCCATACCTAGGCCGGTGAATCGGGCATGCAACATTGCGCTTGACGTCGAAGTTGCATTCGTTCCATTGGGGGAAACGGAAACGACGTACGAATCCGCCAGCGTCAACGTTGAATCAGATTCGACCCTTCAACCAGTGGGTCTGGTGAGGAAGTCACGGTGAAAAACACTGCGGTCATTCCACGGCTCACAAATAACGAGCTGCACAAGCAGCCAGGAATAGAACTGCGCAAGCAGAACATGGCAGCCCCTATGCAAGAGTCTCCAATTGGCGGGAACCCAGCCACACCGTCCGACCACCCAGAGAATGCACATGAGAATCAGCGCGTCATGGCAGAAATCGACCTGGACAATGGCCAAGTGGGCGCGGAGCAAGGAGGCCCTGCAGCCACTGATCTGAAGCTGGCATCTGAACAGACGGCCATGCAAGGTTTGCGTGGCTACCAAGCCACTGCTCATGCTGCTGCCGCCGTGGCTAGGAAAGGCGTTGCGCTACCTCCTCTACAACTCTACAGTGCTGACAACCCTTTTCTGGAGAAGAAATACAAGTTGTCATCGATCTCCAGGCAGTTTGATCGGTTGGACGAGTTTGAAACTGCTGTCCTCGAGCAGCTCCCGTGATGATTTACCCCGAGAACGGCCAATGGCAAGACTGTGCATCTCAAGCAAGCAAGTGAATCGTTTCGTCCGCACAATCCTCTGGCGACGGGTTGCTGAAAGAGCACTCCGAGGGACTTACTTTGGCAATATCCCGGCAGAGGTGTAGGCTGCTTATACAGAAGATCTGCTTCATATCAAATCATGCCTTTGCCGCGCCACTTGCAGAACTGTTTGCTTTTGTTCAACAAGGCCATCAGTTGTGCTTCTTTATCCCTCACAAGCAGCTAATGCTCTATGCGAACCCCCTTTTCTGGCAGTATGGCCTTTTAGCGTTTGTCTCAGGGTGCTGTACCTTCAACAATGAGCACAGACACAAACATGCAAGAGCAGCCACAGCTGCCCCTAGTAAGCAAGAGGAGCCCAGTGAAAAAGATGTGGATGCACTCACCTTCATGCAAACAGTCATTATGTCTTTGAGAGGGATGGTGCACGGTGAACAGACGCTCCCGTCATGACAGGGCGGAAGTGAAGAGTAGATGGGGTTACAGGCCCAGGAAAGGGAGCGGAAGACAATTCCCTGCTCGTGGCAGGCGTGTATCCGTAGCCACTTTGGCTCAAGCAAAACCTTGCAGGGTCTGCAAAAGAAGACTGCCAACGGCGGAATCGGTCCCCACATGGCAGAGGGCGCGAACCGAACCGGGAGTCATTTTCAGCAGGCCGACTGGGAAGAAGACAGCTTCCTTCGACTGAACCTTACCACTTTAGCAGGCACGGTGATACAGCTCCATGTCCCCGTCAGCATCTACCACACTTGGGACATGCTAGAGGAATACCTGATTGAGCACCTGCCATGCATCAGTCCCATCGAGACGTTTGGGTGTGAACTCACCTTGCTCAATGCGGATACGCAGGTGGCGCTTCAAGATCCTGTGCAGGAGGAACTCTGGAATACCAATCATTTCAGCCTGATTGTGCACGAGTGCTTTCGGTGTTTAGAAAATAATAAGCCGCTGCAAGGGTTTAATTATGAAGACTGCCCGAAGGCGATTCGTGTCCCTGTCTCTGACTCAGGTATTCTTGAAGCTGAAGCCTTCCACTCGACCACGCGAGTCCGCCACGCCCGATTGGATCGCTTTACTGCAACAGGCCCGCAAGGGTGGCGGTATTGCCACTCCTTGAGGATTGTTAAGCTGCCTGATACGGTCGTGACGTTAGGTTACTATTACGCAGTCTTCCAAGGCTGTTGCTCCCTACAGGTAGCAGAAATGCCCGGGGTGTGTGGAGTTTGGTGTCCGAGTATTTGCTGAGTGCTGTGCGCTGGAAAACGTGGGCAATATTGTTGATGGAGGTTGCCATCTTGCAATAGGTGCCATTGTCAGCCAATACGCCTTCGAGGAATGTGATAAGCTAGCTCAGCTATCTCTGCCTCATGCACGAGCAGTAGTTGACAGCCACACACTCACATCCCCGCAGGCAAGACTCCCTCAAGGGTGCTTTTTTGCAAGCGGTATCCAGCAAGTAGAACTCGGAGAGGACACATACCACATAGGCCACAGAGCCCCAGAAAATTGCAAAAGGCTTACCCGACCAGTGTCTTGTCTAACAAAGGTGAGTTTACAAC